GCTGACTCCGAGCTTCCGGGATTCTCCCGTTTCTACCTCCCACCTTTCCACAGGAATGCTGGGATTATACATATATGCACTTGGGGCTGGAGAGATGGCTCTTCCAGATGACTTGAGGGTTTTCAACTGTCTGTAACTCCAGTCTCAGTGGGATCTGATGCCCTCTTCTGGCCTCCACAAGTACTGTCTATACACGGTACAGACACAACCAGGCAAAATACCATACACATAAAATTAAAATAAAGATGGAAAAGTGTGCGCACTGCTGCCTCTGACTTCATGTGAGCGAGCTCTGGGGTTTAGACTCTGGGCCCCTCACTTGCACACTTCTGCTAGCTTTGAGGCACGGCTTTGCTACACGGAGATACTGAACACATAGTCCAAGACGACCTTGAACTCTCAACTGTGGTGCCTCATTCTCCTGGGTGCTGAGATTACAGGTGTGAGTTAACACACTTAGCTTCTGTTGGTTTTTGCTGAGTTTCGTTTCTGTTGATTTTGTTTCGTTTTGTTTTTCGAGACAGGGTTTCTCTGTAGCTTTGGAGCCTGCCCTGGAGCCATCTCTTGTAGACCAGGCTGGCCTCGAACTCAGAGAGATCCACCTGCCTCTGCCTCTCAAGTGCTGGAATTAAAGGTGTGCACCACCACCGCCCAGCAATTTTTAAGAATAATTTAATTTTACTTGCATGAATATTTTGCCAGTATTTGCACGATGTGTGTCCTTTGGAGCTGCCATGCGGGTACTGGGCCTAATCCCGGGTCTTCTGCAAGAGAGGACGGCACTCTTAGCCATGGAGTCATCTCTCCAGGCCCTCTGCTGTTTTCAGTTGTGTACATGTGTGTGTGTGCATGGGCGTGAGTGTGTGCATGTGAGTGTGCCCGAGTGCAGTGCTGTTGGATCCCTGGGTCTGGAGTTATGCGCAGAAGCGGCTAGAAGAGCAGAAGGCACTAAGCACTGAGTCATCTCCCCAGCCCTGCGCTGCTTTGAAAAGACTCATTAACAACATTTAACACTGGTCTCAGAGTGACACTCTAAATGCGGGTTAGGCTACTGTTCTACTTCGCTTGTATTTTAAGTCATCCTGCCTGTCGATCTGTGCAATCTTGCAAAAGTAAAACCCATCAAGATTGTTTCAGGCTGCAACTTTCCCAAGCAGGTCTTAAAAAAAAAAGTACCATATTAAAAAGACAAACACAAAACCCAGACACTGTGGACTACAATAGCGAAGCTTGTAAGACCACTGCTGTACTTTCTCTGCGTCTATTCATGGCTCAAACATCTAACGAGCAATCTATGTGCCCAGGTGTCTTAAAGTTTCCATTGCTGTGATAAAACACCATGACCAAAAGCAACTTGGAGTGTGTGTGTGTGTGGGGGGGTGGTATTTTGTTTATATTTTCCTTTTTGTTGTTGTTGTTTGTTTTTGTTTTTAAAAACAGGGTTTCTCTCTGGCTTTGGAGCCTGTCCTGGAACTAGCTCTTGTAGACCAGGCTGGCCTCAAACTCACAGAAGACATGCCTGCCTCTGCCTCTGCCTCCCGAGTGCTGGGATTAAAAGCGTGCACCACCACCGCCCAGCTTGCTTATATTTTCATATCACAGTTCTTCTTCTTCTTCTTTTGTTTTTTTTGGAGGCAGGTTTCTCTGTGTAACAGTCCTGGCTGTCCTGGAACTCACTTTGTAGACTAGGCTGGCCTCGAACTCAGAGATCCACCTGCCTCTACCTCCCAAGTGTTGGGATTAAAGGTATGCACCACCATGCCCAAGGAGCCTGCTTTCTCATAGCACCCAGGATCATCAGCCCAGGGGGTGGTACCACCTACAAACTGGGCCCTCCCACATCAATAACTAATTAAGAAAAATGTATCACAGGCTTGCCTACAGGTCAGTCTGGTGAGGGCATTTTCTCAGCTGATGTTCCGTCTTCTAAAAGTGGAGAACAAGTGAGGCAGACACCTGTGGTCCGCCTCCAGTCTGCACATGCATGCACATGTGATGCATGCACATGTGACACACACACACACGTGAACAGAGTGAGCACCACTGGCTATAAGCATCTGTGGCGAGTGAGAGTGAACAACCCTCTGCCTTCGGGAGCGGAGAGGCAAGAGGTCCTCACCAGCGTTCTCTGTGCGGATCGCCAGGAAAGTACACACAGGGCTGCGGGAGTTTTCGGCAGTGCTCGGAGGAGGAAGGCCAGGTGGCCCAGCAGAGAGGAAAATCTGACCCTGGCGAACAAGGCCCATCGTGAAAGAGAAATAGAAACTTTTATCCTCACCAAAGCAGAACAAAGAGCTCAAGGGTCTCAATGCACTCAGTTCTCGTCAACAGAACATTCAGGCCACCCACTTCTCTTGCAAAGAAACTGAGATGTGGAGTAACACAGATGCAGACGGTAAGTCACCCTAGGAACAGAAGGCAAACTACCAAAGGGATGCTGTTGAGCACCTAGTTAAAGAGTAGGCACAACCAGAGGGAGTTGCTATGGAAACACAGATGCCAGCAAAGATGGAAGAACGGTAAAGATCACAAATAACTTAGTTCTAAAGTAGTTTTCTTGTACACAAAATATTTAAACTCCATGTGTGTTTAACTCTGTATGTGAGAGGGAGAGAGACAGGGGGGAGAGAGAGAGAGAGAAGAAGAAGAAGAAAAAGAGAAGGAGGAGGAGGAGGAGGAGGAGGAGGAGGAGGAGGAGGAGAAAGAAGAGAGAGGAGGGGGGAAAGAGAGGTGAGAAAGAGAGGGAGAGAAGAGAGAGGAGAAAGAGGGAGAGGGAGGGAAGAGAGGAAAGAGAGAGGAAAGAGGAGAAATAGAGGAGAGGGAGGAGAAGGAGAGGAGAGGAGGGGGTAGAGGGAAAGAAAGCATAGGGGAGAGAAAGAGATCTCACTGTGTGGTCCAAGCTGGCCTCAAACTCATGATCCTGCTATGTTGGAACACAAGTGCTGGGATTACAGGCATATGCTAACATGCCTGACAGACTATTTTGAAAATGTTCTCTGAGCCATGAGTGGTTCTATATGCCCATAATTCTAGCACTTGAGAGAAGAGAGTTTGGGGTTCGTGGCCAGCTTGAGTATATTGAGCTCATGTCTCAAAACACAACACAACACAAAAGAAACAGTGTCCTCTGGCTACTTATTTACAGGTAGAGGAAGTTGAGGAAAGAAAAAATGGCAGCAAGAGCAGTGGGAGGCTACTGTAATGGTGAGGAGCAAGGTCAAAAAGGCAGGGAAGAGGGCTGAAGAAGAAGTTAGAGCAACAAGGCCATGCGTGAGTGCATGCGTGTGCGTGCATGCATGTGTGCGCGTGCATGCGTGTGTGTGTGTGTGTGAGTGTTAGGGTAAGGGGAAAGGAGGCAGTAAACAGTGTTGTGAGGAGCGAATCCCTGCCACTTTTCTCTTTGTATGTGTTTGTGCACATTTGCGCGTATGTGCTGGACTGCTGTACCCAGCAGTGCCTGCCAATCCTCTCCACTTAGTTTCTTTGCGACAGGTTGCCCTCTGACCCTGTAACCTGCTAACTTGGCTGGACTGGCTGGTCAGCAAGGCCAGGGCTCCTCCTTTGAGTGTCTGGGCTCTAACGCTGTACATGGGTCACATGCCACCATACCTGGCTTTAGCCATGGGCGGCAGGCTTGCCCTGCACTTTACCCAGCCAAGCCCCCCCTCCCCCCTACACGAATGCCTTCCCTTTAGTTAGTTCTTCCTTTGGATTGCTTTACCGAACTGTCTGTTCTGCCCACCCTTTTCTCCCGGGAGTTCTACTATAATTGAACCGAATAGCCTTGGAAACCACAGTAGTTAGAGGACTCAGATGCTACCTGAGAACAGAGAGAAACCATCTTTTGGTCAATTTCTATCCTTCCGCCATCATCTGCCTAGCACCTGGACAGCTTTGGAGCTGTTCAACCACAATCTTCTAACATGAAGACATTTGATGGTCATGGGTGAAATTACCTGGCGCAAGTGAGAAGAAAACATGGAACACGCAACATGCTTAGGAGTTTATTAGAGGGTGTGTGTACAGGTCTGAGGAAGTCAATGTGCAGAGAGAGAGAGAGAGAGCTGAAGATGGCACCTCCATGCGTGCAAGGGCTCACGCAGCTGCGTCATACATAGATGATGCAACCATGCTGCACGTGGGTCAGGCGGGGTCCTTTAAGATTCCAGGGGCCATTAGGCACTTCTGCCTGAGGGCTTGTAAGCACATGCGTGGCCCTGGAACTGGGACGTGTCAGCCATGTTTTGTGGCTGAATCACTACAGTGGGAACTTGTGCAAAAATCTCATCCTTCCATCCTCAGGGAGTTTTTGTAACATAGGGTACACTGCACGGGAAACACACTGAAGGGATGTGTCCAAGGCCACATACACTAAAGGAGATGTGAGTGTCGTAACTGACTTTAGACACCCTTTCAGCACGTCCCTGATGGCCAAAACGCCTACGGACACAGTAGGGCCGTGTTGACACTTGCAGGCAGCTAAACGCCTAGAGTCCTTTCACGTGATCATTTACCCCAAAATAGTCACTGCGCACCTCCTATGTGACAAGGGGACCTGAGGCCCACAGTCGAGGGCTGGAC